CCTTATGGTTTTGGGTCCGAGGCACAGGCCTCATTTGCCTGTGTTCAGGACCGGCCTTGATGATACATTCACGAGAGATGGTGAAATCTACCTTGCATGCAAGGATTCTTGACTACTTTCATTGAATCCGAAATTTCTGGCCTTGCGAAAAGAATATTCCATCAACCTGTAGCCCTTATTTGAGCCCAAAAAAGCATTTTTGGATAGTGATTTTGGGGAATTTGTGGTTAAAAGTTTTTTTTTTAAAAAAATTCAATTTATGTGTAATATTATTTTTTTGGAGAACATGTGATTGAAAATGAGTTTTGAAAAAAATGAATTTAAAAAAAAAAAAAAAGGAGCTCAAACAACCGCTTAGACACTAGGTATATTTGAACGTGCGTTATATATTATTATGAAATCTTTTATAAATGCTATAAAAATAATATTTAAAGATGTGAGAACATATAAAATAGTAAATGCATATTGTTTATGTGGAATGAACTTTTGTTTCAAATGAAATAAAAAAAAATTTGTAAAAACAATTAAAATAGTTGTGGAAGTCAATAAGAATAGTACCTCCATTTTCCCTTTTGATTTGAACTGTATATTCAACGAATACCATCATTTCTCCATATTCACTTAATATGTATTGAATATATCAATGGAAAATATTTATTATAGATACGCATTATTTCTCATCATTTACCTTTTCTATATCTTAACATTCATTGAATAAATCAATTGAAAGAAAACTCTCAAAATATTCATCCTTTGTTTAAAAAAATTAATGAATTTAATTTACTGTCCAATCAATCGATTGAAAATGTATATTGATCATAACTAAATAGTTAACAAAATAGTTAATAATAATTATGTTAACATGATTGAAATGATTGAAGAATATTGAAAAATGAAAAGTAATGTATTATTGAAATAACTGAATTATAATAAGGATGAAAGCGTCAAAAATGCACATTGATCAATAGATCTATATCTTAACATTTGCTAAATAATCAATTGAAAGAAAACTCCCAAAATATCATCTTTTGTTCCCAAAAATAAAATAAAATAAAATAAAATAAGTTGATGAATTTAATTTACTATACAATCAAGAGGAATGAATATGCCAAATGTACATTAATCATAATTAAATAATTGATAAAATAATTTATGATAATATTGTTCAAATATTAAATACATATTGAAAAACAAAAATAAGGTAATGAATATATCAAATATACATTCATTATAACTAAATAGTTGATCAAATAATTAATGATAATATTATTCAAATGATTCAAAATCTCAAATGATTAAATGAATTAAATACTTATAGAAAAACGAAAAGTAAGATATTATTAAGATAGTTGAATTACAGGAAGAAAAATTGTAGTGATATATTAAAAAGAGGAAATTAGGCTGGGTACTCTAAAAAAAGGGACAAGTTAGATTAATACACTTAAAATAAATTAAAACTGCTAGCAACAGTAATTAATGCGTTCTAATCCCATCAGTAGGTTTTCATCTTCACCTCCATCTGTTTTAGACGTAATAACAGTAATTTGAGAAATTCTCGAAAGTTGTATGAAACTTGTGCTCTTTATGCTATGCTGCAACAAGATCAAGAGCTATGAACATTGTGAAAAATCCTCCCCTCTCTCTACTCATGCAAGAATCTTGTGTAGTACAGAATTTTCTGCCTTTGAATTGCATTTTCCTATGACAAAATTTTTAGAAAGAGAAAGAGAGGAGCGGAGAGAGGGAGAGAATGTGTATAGGTTTGAGTGGTTAATGATGATATTGAAGATTCTTCGTGGACAGACAATTCTGTTGAATGGTTCAGATTGCCTTCTCATTTTGTCATGCTTCAAACCCGAGTATAATAATTTTATGCAAATCGGTGGATCATTGCTTATTTTTGAGCAAAGTAAAGGTTTGAAAATGATTAATCAGCAGGATGATTATTTAGTCTGGGAAGACTATTTGCACCATAATTATTAGAATAAGCTAAATCCCAAGTGCAGCAGCACCGCTCACAGCCTATTGGAAACACCTTGAATTTCTCCTGTTTTTGAGATTGTCACTTTTTTTAGCGTTGATCACTTTTTTTTTTTTTTTGTCACTTTCTTGAAATTTTGTAACATTTTTTCAGTATTTGTCACTTGTTTTAAAATATTGTCATTTTCTTGGAGTATCGCAGACATTTGTCGGCTAATTTTACGCCCGGTGCTCAATGGCTCCAATTAATTACTTGAAACATGTTTGGTGGATGTTTAACAAAATGTTTATAAATTATAGAATGAAAAAAAAAAAGAGTAATCTTATTAATGAAAATGTCACTTTTTTTAATCTGTGTCACCTTTTTTTTTTTTTTTTGTGTCATTTTTCTTTTAGTTTCATTTTTTTTTTAAAAAAATTTGTCACTTTTTTGAATTGTTGTCAACTTTTTTAGTATTTGTAATTTTTTCAATCACTTTCTTGATTTTTACCACTTTTTTTTTTAGTGACAAACATCACTTTTTAATAAAAGTGATATTGTATGTCATTTTTTAATAAAAAAGTAACATTGTGTCACTTTTTAGTATCACATAGTACTTTTTACTTCCAAAAAACTTTTCATATGATTTTTCAAAATACCCCTAATTTTAAGGGTATTTTTGTAAGATACCCTATTAAAAAACTACTTCAGAAAATTTAAATGGGCTTGGGGATAACACTGGACTATAGCCCAAGGCTATCCTTCTCCATCCGTCCATTGCATGAATGTATTTTATTTTATAATGAAAATAGCACATTGGTTCTCTTATTGTCCAAATAACGAGTTGGTCTGTAACTCCTTAATACAAGACATTAATGGTGTTCATGTGCAGGTAGTAGTGAATAGCAATGTTTTTAAAATTGGATCGAACCAACCGGTTCAACTGGGAAAATCGTGAACCGGCCTAAAATCCGGTCTGGACACACTACAATAATCGGAAGAGGAAAACCCAGTCAACAAACCATAGAACCGGACGATTTACCCATAAACCGAAAAACCTTCACGGTTTGACCGGTTTCTATGCACTATGTTTATAAAAAAAAATTATTTCCTTTAATAGACTCATGGATTACAGCTACAAGCCCATACTATACTTTCTCTAGTTAGTGGCAAGCACTCCCCTTTAAAGAGACGTCTCTCTCCACATTTGCATTCAATTATCGATGTGGGACAAAGACTTCCAATAGCAAAACAAACAAACGGATTTATTTGAATAAAGCCTACGTCAAATTATTTTAATTTTTGAAGTTTTAAAATAAATTATATTATAATGCATCTAATTAATAAACGTAGATTAAATTTACTTTGAATTAGTAATGCTAAAATAAATATATTATTGTTGTAATACTTGGGTTTATTTTTTTATATTTAATTTTGGTATCTATTATTGTTCCAAAACCTTTTTTTTTTCCAAAAAAATTATTATATAATAAAAACATAGGTTATTGTTCAAAACTTATTGTTGTCAAAATAAATTAAAATGTTTAAAAATATTTATTTATTACTTCCGATTTGACCTCAGTTCAACTCCGATTGAACTTTTTGACCCTTGACTCTTTCTTTTTTCGGGGTCAATGTCCGGTCCAATTTTAAAAACATTGGTGAATAGTGAACATTACCGAACACCTTGAAAGAAAGATAATTTAGAGAAAAAAAAATCGTTATGTTATATATTTCTTTTCACTAAAGATTTAATTATTAACTTGACCTATGCCATATCAACGGGAAATAACTTAACATCCTATATTTACGACCAATATAACAATGCTGATTATTCAAAAACAAAAACTCCATCCATCTCATTTATATAAATTGATTTTGTTTTTCACACAAGTTACGTCCCTGTTTGTTTCTCATTTTTTAATAAAAATGCATTTAGAAATAGTTAATTAATGAAGTTTTAATTTTACGTGTAATATTATTTTATTGAAAAATATGATATTGAAAAGAAAAATGTGAAAAATGTATTTTAAGACAAATGGATATCAAACAAGGGATAAGAAATTTTATTTAATGTTATTGAAAAAACAATTTTTGCCAAAAACTTTTCCAATCTATCATTATATATATTTGTACAATTTCAAGATTAAGTGAAAAAAAAATTATTATAACTACACAAATTAAATAAGAGTAAATTAGTAAACGAACAAAACAAAACTTTCTCAATAAACAAACAATATTATATAATTGGAATAAGAAAATAAAGAAAATCAGCCTATATAAATAGAACGGAGAGTATATACTTTACTATACCAATAATGCTATTTATAGTCAACGATGGTTGTAATCATCCAACGTGACATTTTAAGTGACATATTTTTAATAATTTAAAAAAAAAAGAAAAGAAATAACTTTTAATAATGCCATACCACGTAACTTTTAATAAAAGGAATGCTTATTATCAAAAAACAAATGCATACTTAACTATACCCATAAATTGCAGGTCAACATAGCAATATGTCATAAACCCAGACAAATATTTGCAATTACATAAAACAAACCATCATTGTGTTATATATCACTTAAAGAGGGCCTAAACAAAACCAGAGAACATGAAAAATGAATATCCATAAACACAAGGACTAAAGGTATAAGGCCAGATAAGAACCCGACTGTGGCTCCAAGCATTGACTCGCAAAAATTCCATACAGCTTTATGCCTGCAACGGAGAAATGTCAGAATGAGAGAACAAATCAAAACACAAAGCTGAAAGCAAATTGTTGGAAGCCATATTTGACGACTACTTTCTGTAACAATAATGCATGATTGTACACTTGCCTTGTTTGCAATGTTATTGGAGAGCCAATCGAGCCCCTCGTAAAGCCCTTCTCCGGATGTAGCACAAGTACTCTGGATGTACCTGGGAAGAGAGAGCAACCGAGTCGTAAAATAATAATAAATGGTATATCCAAAGACAGAGGTTTAAAAACACCGATATGGCGATATCACCTAAGTTAAAGCATTGTTTCAATTTTATCACCGAACCCTTTTTATTCCAAATTAGTCGCCGACTTTTGAATTTTTTTTTTCCGTTTAGACACAGTGTCTGCTAAATTAATAGAAGTGCTAATGTGGCATTAAAATTCAGCTAGTGCGTTGTTTTTATAATACAGCTGGACAAGAACGTGTCCTGTTAGACTAGTTGCGCATTCGTCGTGTGCTTTTTCAGATACAAAAAGTAAGATGTGCATAAGAAACCAAAAATCTTAATCTTCTTTGCCAACCCCCATCTGCCCCCTTCACTCCACCAACATTGTCATCACAACTGCTGGCATGCGAGCATTTCTATTAGTTTAGCAGATGGAGGTAGGCAGAGGCCTAAATTGAAAGGTGAAAGGAAGTTCAGTGACTAATTTGGAACAATAGAAAGTACAATGACCAAAGTGAAACGACACAATAAGTTGGGTGGCTTATAGTGCTTCACCCAAGAACAGACTATGAAGGAAGAAGATTAAGAAGTTTACCAGTGACGCTGCCTGAGTGAGTGTAGCCCAAGCTTGTCAGTTATTTCAGCCGCGTTCATTGCATTAGGAAGATCTTGTTTGTTGGCAAATACAAGTAATACTGCATCTCTTAGCTCATCCTGAAGCAAGCAATAAAAATATTCCAGCCAACTGGTCAATATATTGTTTTTACCTTACGTGCATAACTAGGAAAAGCTTTTGAACCGAGAGTTGGAATATTGGGATATCCCACCACTTCAGCCCATTTTGATATTAAAAATAAAAAATAAAAAATTTCCTTTTTTCCTTTTTACTGTTTTGCCAAACATTTATCACATAATCATCTGAATTATTTCATGCGTTTGATCTTTACAAGACACATAATACATCCATGCATGTGAATCATTACCGTTATCATGCAGTTTATCGGACACTACCAATGTCACTACTATTATCTAGTAATGATTTTAGAGAGGGCCTTATTTTAAAGGTTAGTCGTATTGCTTGTTTAATAAATAATTACTCTGTGAAGAATTGAGTTTTATCAAGAAAAAGATGATCCATTTTTCTTTCTTTCTTTCTTTTTTTTTTTTTTTTTTTTTTTGCAAAAGTAATCAATCTCCTAACTCAGCCTAAGAGATCTTCTATTTTTTTACTAATAATTCTCATCTATTTTTTCACTGATATATCTCATCTACTTTTCGCTGATATTTCTCATCAAGAAATAGTTTCAAGCATTGTATGCCCAATATTATTTATAAGAAATTATAAAGCCTTAGAAGTTAGAAGTGTAAAAATAAACAGGGTTAAAAATATATATAAATAAATAAACTTGTTACCTCATTCAACATCCTATGCAACTCATCTCTTGCCTCCACAACACGGTCCCTGTCATTGCTATCCACCACAAATATGAGACCCTGTGTGTTTTGGAAGTAGTGCCTCCACAATGGACGAATCTGCAAACAATGTGGATGAATTAGTTAAAATGACTACTTCAAGAAACTCTACCAAGGGCAAGATAAAAGGATACAGGAATCCTTTCTAGGCTTGTACAGCTCCAATAGTGAGGATCACCGAAGGTGAGAGGAGAAGGGGAAAAGTTGATCATACCAAAGTATAGAACCCTGATTTTAACTTGCTGTATTTTGACAAAGGCATAGTTATAGATCAACAATGGGATAGACATACAAAATTTCCCTACCTTGTCCTGACCACCAACATCCCAAACCGTGAAGCTAATATTCTTGTACTCGACAGTCTCAACATTAAAACCTGCAGAAAAATAACAAAGCCCCACAAATCAAAATTATGCACATTCGGCTCATAATCGAGAAAAAGGCTCAGCTTTAACAAGTACATTGTAGCACAGAATACCACATCCAAAAAACACAATAATTGAAAGAAACAGAGCTGTTAAATTTGCAGAGCATTACCGATGGTAGGAATGGTAGTGACAATCTCTCCAAGCTTGAGCTTGTACAGAATGGTGGTCTTACCAGCAGCATCCAGACCAACCATCAGAATACGCATCTCCTTCTTGGCAAAAAGCCGGCTAAACAGCTTTGTGAATGTCAGCCCCATTTGCCTTCTTGCTTTAGATCCCTGCACATTATCATGCCTAATCAGCATTACATGAACACCTACAGGCTACAGCTACACATTTTTTATTGTATTCACATATAATCTATTGGGTCAACACATAAAATACAGGTGCCATGAAACCATGGTTCACATTATTGCACCACTTCTTTGCCAATCTAGATATTCATAAAAACAAAATTGTGTCTAGTCCAATTAAAGTCTAGGCCAATTAAAAATCATATAATACAATGATATAGTTACAGATGCAATGAATTATTCCATATTATCTGACTGAGTTATTTCATAACCTTACTTTTGGTCTGTACAAATTATCCATTAAACAACTCCTTTGGTTATACAATTGGAATATCAGAATAGGGGCTTCTCATGAATCACATGACAGACACTACCACGATCATCATTGTATGAATTACATTGCCCCCATCAATGTTACAAATATACACCAATGAATCTACATCTAGAAGCTTTTTGGTGAATTATGTTTTATACATATACATTGAATAACATTACATGCATATCATACCAAAAAACTCTGTAGATACACGTGAATTTAAATGTAACTGCACGTTGATGAATAACAGTATACACGTCAAGCATCATTACATCGCCTCAAGCAATTAAGGCTTTGTTTGTCTACCATTTTTCCACATTCTACCACATTATTTTTTCTACTTTCAACCACACATTCTTCATTGAAATAATATTACACGTAAATCAAATATTTTTCCTTCTTTTTTTACCACGCATTTCAACATCAAACACTATTCCACAATACATTACTCACAAATAATGGGGCACAAACAAGCACTAACTATTTTCAAACCATGAGGTCAAATCATGTCCATTGGCATTGGCCACTAGTTAATTTCATATGCATGTGATTCTCATATGAAATCAATCCATAGTATATACATGATATTCAATCACGTGTAGAGGCAATGACAGCGTTGCAACCAAATAACATCGGGAAGATGCCTGGAATTCGTAATTAATAACATTATAAACCATTTTCAAATAAAATTGAACCAAATCATATAGATCCAAGAAAAATAAAATAAAATAAAAATATAGTGTGAAATAGGCGACGTTTCATTTGTTTAGGCGTGGACACATATCCGTCAATAAATTTTAATTTTAAAATATGGTAACAGCCCTTGTTTGGTTTGCATAATTTTCAAAATATATTTTTTTAATCTTATTTTTAATCTTACATTTTTTAATAAAATAATATTAAATGTAAATTTAAAATCTTTTTCTTAATTTTTAATCACACTTTTTTCATTAAAATACTATTTCAAAATGCATTTTGTTGAAAAAATTAAGCTCAAATAGGCTCTTATTTTTATATATTGTTTACTTGGGAGTTATATTCGCATTTAGTTGATGAATAGTATATATAAAGGTATTAAATGATATATATTGAGTTGAGTATGATTCAATTTGTTTTAAAATATTTAGGCTCGAGACAAGTTGAACACGCACGAGCCACTCGCTTATCGGTTCTTTTTTGATCGAGTATCACACTTTTCATCTTATTACTACAAGTATAATGAAGACGTAAGAAAATTGTAAACGTAGGAAAATGTAAACATTAGAAATTATAAATTTGTAAATCCTCATTTATCTACGTATGAAATTAATAGCTACATGAATGAATGTTTAGATACAATATTTTTAAAAACAATCAAGTATCAACATGAAGTAATAAATATAAAAGTTAGTGCACCAAACAGTTCATGAATTTTATAGTTATTGAAAATATTCAGAAATTACACTAGTCATCTTATCTCGTATTTGGTAATCAACATATTGTTAGGCATTCAAGTACATTAGAGTCTCAAATATGTTTTCTTTCAACCAACTTCTTCCGTCGGACAAATTCCTGCCATCTGCAATAAATGTTGCCTTCGATGCTATAGCTGACATCGAAGGCATTAGCAGGTTACATGCCATCAAAAATAATATTGAATATTGTTTATCATTTATTCTCCATCATTCAAGAATATCAAAATTATTTATCTTTTCTCAATTTAAAACACTAAGAATGTGAATCGCCCCTATGGGGATCTCATTTTGTGGTCTACTAGCATCACTAGAAAATGGGTAGACGATAACCTTCAGACAGTCGCCATACTTAAATAGGCCCATACGTCATTGTCGAGGAATGACGAAATAATAGAAGATGGTGATAGAAGATCATGACTTTAGAGGTGCCTAGTTGGCTAGGGGTGATTCTATTCTATGTTGGGGACTCATGTTAATACAGTGTAATATAGAAATTTCTATGATTAACAATTCTTCGTGGTCTAGCCATATCTTTTTGTTCTTAGTTCCCACATAGGACGCCAGCTGATGTTATATGGTTTAGTCACTCTTTAGTCATTGCTCAACCAAATTCTTATTAGGAAGGTTCTTTCCTCATGCCAACCAAGATATATCAGGCAATGTTTCCAAGCAATCCTAATGCTTGGAAGGATGGACGGTTTCATCCCTCTTGTCCAGCTGACGTAAGAAGTAGAATAATAAGGATAATACGTATAAAGAGATTCAATGAAAGAAGCTCCGGCGAGCGTACCTGAGCTCTACTTCTTTGGTGGAGCTCAATCACGAATGCTGGAGTTCAATCAAAATATGATCTAGCTCGACCTGGGTTTTTCCAAGCTTGACCTAGGTGGTCGAGTTCGGGTAAATAGGGGCGCCTTCGATCACATGGTAGATCCTAATTGAGGATATTAAGGCTTGATCATTGGGTTGGACCTTCCAATATATACTTGATGATGTAGGATTTTACGACTATTTGAGGTGGCCAATTTTTTTGTGAACAATCATCATGATTAGCCCAAAAAGATACTATCGTCATGTGAATTTAGCTCCTGTTTGGTCCAGCTATTTTCAGATTATAAATTGTAGATATCACAAAATATATAGTTATAAGTGGATTAAAATTGTGGGCTCAATGAGATGTGATAAAAATGAAATTTGACCAGTTTATAATTTCAAAAATGTTGTACCAAACAAGGGCTTTAGGAAATTTGGTAGTTTCCTTCAATTTAATCTTATAGCGCTGCATAATATGTTGAGAGATATGTTAGAATTTTTCTAGCAAGAAGCTAGTAGATCAAGTTTCCAATGTATAATAAATTATGAAATTGTTTGTATTTGTTTGGATTTATTTATAAGATGCTAACATTATAATACGATCGAAATAAGTTATTGATAAAAGAGTCGTAATTGTAAATCCTACAAAATAAGTGCTTAAAATTAAAATTTGACTTTGACCGTGATTATAATCAAATCCAAACAAACACTTATTTTGATCAAGTCAATTCACTTGGGCCAAAAGAGTTCATTTTGACAATCTTTGAGTAATTAGGTTTGCATATTATATTTAGAGAAAGGTTAATTTCACCAATGGACTTGCATTTATTGTCAACTTGGCCATTGAACCTTAATTTATTTTTGACCGATCATCAAACTTTATAAAATGTGTAAGTTAGGCCACTGACAAATGGTTTGTGTTGACCTTGTTTTCAATTAGAGTGATGTGGATAGCAGATACAGGGCTCACTCGTGTACATGTAAGCAAATTTCAACATGTATGGACAGGATGCCAATCGATAATACTCCGAATTTGGATGTGGGAGAAACTTAATATCACGAGACAAATATATTTGGGCTCTAGCAATATATTTTGAGAATGATTGTATGATATTAACCAATCGTCAACAACTCGACTAAAGCTAGATAATCTTAACTCAAGCAAACAAGTGTATGAAAATAGGTAAAATGAGAAGAAAAAGGGTAGCGTCAAGTAGTTTTGGTTGCATTATCCCTTTCCAATGATACATAGAGGGAGTATTTATAGTGTTACACATGGAATGATGCCCAATGGATGAATATACACGTGGCTTCATCTCGTGAATCGAAGCATCGGATCTTAGACATTAATTCAAACTTACTAGCCTGTTATGCATTTAATGCTCCCACGGATGGCAGCCATCCTACAACATAAACTGACATGACTTTAGACATTCCACTCATTCCAAAGGTCCTATCAATTATTCCAAAAGGATCATACATAGATTCAAGATCTTCACGTGGGGGTCATCATTTGAGTTTCGACTTTAACCTTTGTTGAACTTCATTGCTTCGACAGGGAGACTTCGGAGTTTCATCATAAACACGAAAACACTTAGGTAATTATAGCTTCGGCGCTTCGAATTATAGACTCCAATAATCTACGTGGCCAAGGGCTTCAGGGGGTCGGTCATATGGAGCCTTCTTGGCAAGGTGTAATAATAATCCCCCGAGTCCAAATATGGTTATTTATATCATTCGTGAATTTCATTATTAAGTATTATATTTTGGGCTAGTTTTTCTGTCACGGTTAAATTTTTGACAAACACATATTCCCGAAGTCCAACTATAGAAATTTATATTATGATTGGAATTTAAAGTTAACTTGGTTCTTGTATGTCGTCCTACTCTTATGCAGTGCTAAATTGTTGAAATTTCTCTTTTCAATAGAAGTTGAAATTTATTGGAGCCGAAGCAAGAATGTGCCGAATTGTCAAATTGTCGAGGCTCCTTTGTTTTGATAGAAGTGACATTGATAATGGTGCCAATGATTTGATGTTTTTGCAGGTTACCAAGAAAAAATAGCCAAGGCATTATGACTTTCGATACACGCATGGCTATTACATTTAATTCGCAATGATGACCACGTTGCAGTGTTTTGGGGTTGACGCACTGAGGCACATAGGTGAAGAACACGCATCAATCTAAGGCATTGACAAAAGAAACCGTTCAAATTCAACGCCTCAAATGTAACCAAGAATGGACGCTTCAGATGGATTAGATTTTTATCCAACGGGTGTGATTCTTCTATCCCTTATATATAAGTTAAAAGCTTGCAATTATCTTGATCTTTACTTTTGTGAAAATTTTCAAACTCTCGAGTATTTCCTAGACTCTTTACTCAATCTGTGTTCTTCGGCGAT